TCTCTCCTGCTTTCATCTCGCTTCATTCAATTTCTTCATTATCCACTGCTTTCTTGAACAAATTCATGCCTGCAAGTGTGGCCACACCTCGGTGAACTTTGAACCTAAACTTATTTTCACCCCGAAAAGCTCCAAGGTTCACTTTCTGCAGCGCGTAGCCTGCAGTACAAAGACACACATTGCTCTTAAGAAGAAGGATTTCTGCACAGCTCGCCTAATGAGGCGAAGCTGAAAGACGCATAATGAAGCAGAAAGCGCCTTTGCTATGCTTTGCACTGTGGTTGTTTTTCTCTTTTGCTCCAATTTGCCTTTGTGCTCAGAGCAATTCAAAAGGCTGGCACGACAGAGACACTCGGTGGCTTTGGAAGAAAAGTGGCACGAAAAAGTTCTGTGATCCCTCCGTCAGCGACCAGACAGCAAGTGCTGTCCCCGAGGTAAATCGGCAAATTTAGAGGTTTTGTCTGGAAATGTGATGCGTGCTGAGGTTAATGGGGTTTTATTTTTATAATCTGAAATGAAAAGACGTGACTTGCATTCAAATTTTAGAGATTGTAGCCATATTTTGTGCCAGGCAGTGAATGAACACAATTCTGTAGCTTGAATATTTCAGTACTTATAGTTACACTAAAAAAAAAAAAATCCCCACCCATGGCATATTTAGATTTTAAATGGTTTATTTTCAATGGAGAGGATGTCTCTGATAGGAAATAAGACAGATATGTCTCAAAGGAAGACAAAACAATGCAAGAGCAAACTGTAAATCACCCATCTAGCCACATTTAATGAAAAGGTGTAATGTCAGAATTGCTTACAGAGAAATCCAGCACTCCTTATAACTTTCCTCACCAGCTCACCTCAGTCTTGCATGTGAAATGAACCAGGTCATGCAGCTTTGTTTTGTCTTGCATGAAAGTGCAGCCCTGGCTTCTACAGAGAACGAACAGGACCAAGTAAGGGACGGTGTGTGCCATGCCGCTGCAACGGACTTTCTGATTTGTGTGATGCACAAACGGGGAACTGCATGGTCGGTGCTTCAATACACGTCCAGTTGAAACCGGATATATGCAGTTTAAAAAAAAACAGTTATCTATGATAATATCTAAAAAAAACATGTTCTCACTAACTTTTCTTAAATGTAGCAAATGGAAGTAATTTTGTTTAATTCTAACTAAACAAAAAAAAAAACTTTGTTCTGACATAGCTTCAGACAGTGAGAATTTTTTTTTTTGTTTTTATCCGTTGTACGTAGATATCTGGTTTCAAGCGTACGCTCACAAGCAAGGTGCAAAATGCTTCATCGTACTGTAAGGCTGTCACTTTTGTGGGAAAAATATGTTTTGTCTGTGTGACCTCCAGAACTGCCGGTTTGACGCCGTGGGGGATCGATGTGAGCGGTGCAGGGAAGGTTTCCACGGACACGCCCCCAACAGGACCTGCCGAGCCTGTCCCTGTCCCTCCACACACAACAAGTCAGCATCTAATGACCAACATTACAGTTACAGTGGCTGTACAAAGTGAACACACACACACACGCACACACACATGCACACATACATACACTTGTTAACATTTAAAGTTTGTGACATGACAAACGAGACAATCGCAGGGTTATTCAACTCAAATCTGTAAGGAAGAAAACAATGGCAGACAAAACAACAGCAAAATGCTACAGTGACCCGATACGCAACCTTAATAAAGCAACTTTTGATTCAGCATTCATAGTTAATCCGATTACAATTAAATAAAGTTCAGATGTCATAGTAGGATTTTTCCGCCGTTTTCTCAGATGCAGTTTTTTTTTTTAAGCTGAAGTCACGGTTTGCCGAGAGCTCAAAGGATCAACAATAATCTCATCGTGGAATTCAAGAGTTAGGAGAATTTTTCAAAACATTCTTTTGTGTTAATATAAATCCTTTGGTAGCTAGAGGACATGCGGGAGAACAATGACGGTATGAAAAATGGATTGATCTCTAATATAATGAGAATACAGGAGGGAAGGTGCAGCGACACTGAAGTCTGTTAGACAAAAGCCTAAAACATGTGAAATCTCCCTAAAGCTTTTGAGATATCCTATGAAATTGCATATATACATTTTCGGTTCATTTTCACAAGGTATTTTGGACAAAAAGGACTGATGTTCACTAAAATGAACACCATAACCACACTGAAGCAGGGTGGTGGCAGCATCATTCTCTGTGGTTACTTTACTTAGAGGTAGTCAGATGTCTGCTGTGAAAGCTGAAGATGATTTTCTGTCCTGACTTATGTCAAAAATCAACAAAACAAAGATCTCGTGAAAGGAAAATGAAAGTTTTATGATTCCCTGTTCGGGTTTCAGATGTCAGTCTAACAGAAAATCTGTGGGGTCGCCTGAAGAGGGCTGTGAGCAAGAAATGCCCTCAGAATCTGACAGATTCAGACGACTTCCCCAAGGAATCTCTGCAAAATGCTGTCAGGTCAAACCGCATGATGCCGACAGACTCTGAAAACTAATCAAAAGCTTTTAAGAGTGTGAATACAAGAGCAGTCGCATTGTAAATGATCTATGTCACTGTACCAATGCCAACAGTTTATAATGCTCTGTTATAGGTTCTAGTTTCACATATTTTTATTAACATGTTTGTATATTTTGAATACGTTTTTTTTTTCACCCCTGCAGTTTTGCGGTAGCCTGCCTCGACGTCAGCCCAGGAGTTGTTGAGTGTTTGTGTAAAAGAGGCTACAGTGGAGCTCGCTGCGAGAGGTGAGGCACAAACTCGGTATTTAAACAATAATCATCTGAACTTTACTATCTTACACTGTATACAAACATCTTCACATTGAAGGTGTGCATTTGGCTACTATGGTAACCCCATGGTGCCTGGAGACACCTGCAAACCCTGCAGCTGCGCAGACAGCAGCTTAAGCGGCTGTGACTCTCTGACTGGAGGTGAGTGGGGACAAATTTTAGCTACGAAAATCAGATTTGAAGTAACAACATGACATCTAAAGATGTAACCAGAGCCAGCACCTTTTACACATCGACACCCCTAGAAAATTTGTGTAAACGGCCCTTTAATGTTTTTTTTTTTTTTTTAGCGCTTTTCGTTAGTTGGGAGTGGAAAACACTTTTAAGAGACAATCGTTTTTGAAAAATTGCTACCATTATTGGCAATTTCTGTCACTGAAATGCAACTAAAGTATTCTTGAAATCTAAATTTCAACATTTTGAAGTTCTTCAGAGTGTCCGATTCACAGTTCATCAGTCATTTGTAAATGTGGCGCAACATGTAGAGGCCACGTCTCTTTCAGCTGTGGCCACAAGGCTGGATGAGGAGTCATATTTATCTTATCACAAGACGGACAGGGAGGTAAAATGAAATCTCAGAGGCTCACTGTTGGAAAACTACAGCAAAAAGTTAAATATTTTATAAATATAACAAGTACTACCTTTCTACAAGCTAACTGCTTATTTGGACGGTGTCCCCTTCGTCTGAGCCCTGTTTTGAGTCATGATTGCAACTGGGATGGACCCAGATGTAGGTTGAAATAAAGCAATTTAGTTTAAAAAAATTAAAGAAATAAGCAACTTATAGGAACACAGGCGGCCGGATATGGACTACTGACGTAAACGGAACGAGGTAGCAGAGGGAGCGAGTAGCAAATAATGAAAATCCAGGAACTTAAACATAGAGGAGAGGTGTAAATGACAGAGCAACCCAGAAAAACTACCCAGAAGCAATAAAATAAAAATAAATAAAAAATAAACAAATAAAAAAGGAATGAACTGACCTTAACTCAGTGGCGTTGAAGAGCCGGAGTCCGGACAGGTTCAGGTACCTCTCTGTTTTAACAACATGGCATTATGACAGCTGCTGCAACACCAGGAGAATTTGAATAATAATAAACGACCTGTTGTAATACTAAACTATTTCCAACTCTTGTCAATCAAGATTACACCGTCAGGTGTTTGCAGCTCCACCAAGGACTTTATTCAGCAGTCCTTTCAGGCTCAGTGGTGCTTTTAGTGTCAGATTAAGTGGCCCTGATGTGATGCAAGCCACCTTATCGTCTCATCCCTCTGACAGAGTGCGCCACGGGGGCTAACGGCAGCGGCGGCGATCCCTGCCACGGCAAGTTAACGCTCAGAGTTCATTTTACAGTTTGGACGTGAAGAGTCGACATTAAAGCCCGTGTTTTGTGACAGGATGTGACAGCTGTGCTTGTGCTCTGCTGGTGGACTTGGAGAAAGAGGACGGTGGAGTGGCTCTGCTGTGTCAGCTGGTGCTGAACATTACCGCCGGCCTCCCCGGGCTGAGCCTGCTGGAGGCTGATGCCTCGCAAACAAAGGTACGGGCTCATAAAACATTTCCTACAGGAGTTCATACCACGGCCATTTTTTTTTCCCCCATTGCGCTGCAATGTTCTCCATGAAACTGGGCGCATTCGTCTCCATCATTACCAGCTTCGGGTTGATGGATACAGCGGTGCTGTGAGGTGGCTGGACCCAAACGTGGAGCAGCTCGAGGCGGACATCGCTCTGGTCGGAAATGACCTGACTCGCCAAAATAATGAGGTACCAGTGGAGAAATTTGGCAGTCAGAAAACTGGATTTGAATATGTTCCAAATGTAGCGGATTTTATTTGACATTAACCCAGCTGAGGTCTGTTGTCTTGGAGGACATACAGTATACAACCAGGCATTGTTGGGGGCTTGCTAATGTTCTTGTGCTGGCAAAGATATGTTTAATGTGTACTGGAGAGTGGAATACATATATTTAGGCCCGAGCAGCTAAGCGCTGCGAAGGCCTCTTGAAATTGTGCTGTTTATTATTATTATTATAGTTCTTGTGCCAAATGAATTGGCTTTTTGGGGGTTTTATCATATTCAAAAACTCACCAAACTT